TATATATATATATATGTTTATGTAAGTCCGTAATCACGCTGAATTTTTATTCAAATTAATGAGTAACAATTCATGAAGACTCATTGCACCTATACTTGTCTGTTGTGTACCAACAAGTCTTATATGAATTAAAAAGAAAATAAAAAGGAAATAAACTCAAATGAAAAGTCACAAATACCGCTATAATTAAAAATACAGACTTTTTTTTTTTTTTGAACACGAATATCAACGAGACATTATTGATTTTTACATGCAAATTACATTTATACATTTGCATTTATCTCTATATTTTTTCAAACACGATTTTGACAATTTCAAGGACTTACGACAATGGTTACGTAACACGCGAATTTGAACGTTCATATAGCATTGTATTATGGCACATTTTGCATTAGTTAGTACCCAAGGTTGTACTGCCAAACATTCAAAATCAATATCGTGCTGCAGCGGCAGTATCTTCGTCGCCGGTTGTATTTTCGATCACATGTACTATACGGGGGAACTGACCTCGACGAAGCTTAACCTTTGCGACGTCACGCGACCTGACATTTGTATCCGGCAATTATGTGATTCTAGTTAGATAACGCTTCCACCCTTTTAGTTAAATCGTCCCGACGGGGATGAAAACATTGAAAGGCTTTCGGATTCGCGTCACCTACACGGAACAGGAGTTCATATGCGTTTATAGAGTTATTATATATAAATGTAGGACCTTTATATAAAACTGTCAACTATATTCATTTTTAGTAAAAAAAAAGCACATTGAAGTATATTAAAAAAAATTATTCTATAAAAGCGCCATTTGTTTTTTTATAATATTTCAAAAAAGTAATAAACAACTTTTTGATTATTATTCAATAACTTATTTAAATATAAATATACATATTTATATATAATTATAAGATTATATTACATCGAATTTATAATAAATAATAAATTCATAATAAATAAATCTTAAGAGTCATGTTGTTAATTCGTGAAATATATGAAAAATAATTAAAGAATAATAATAATTTATGTATTTGTTTTGCTTCTTCAAAAATTTATAAACTAGCGTATAAAT